TGTCCGTTTCTGAGATACTGGATCCGCCGTGCCTGGCACTGACAATCATACCACGCTCAAAGTCGCTTAGGTCACTTGTTTTGCCCATTCTAATGTTCAATCGAATAGTAACTGAATGCCTCGATGCCTGTCTGCCTGCTTTATATAGCAAGCCACGGCCACCTGACTCACTGTCTGTAGGAGCGATCCATTTTCATGAACGGGTGGTGTACCTAGTCTAATTGCCATATGTTCTTGTTTACAAAGATATGAAGCCGCTGAATCATGCATGCTTGCCACAGCCGGGATCCATCCAATCAAAACTCCCATCCTATTCTAAAAGTTCTACTTCAATCTGTGTTTAGCTGGGGAGGTTCTCCCTGGAGAAGTAGGCAAGTGTCAGTCAGCACTCATCATCGCTCAATATAAATAAATAAGAAAAGGCACCCAGTAGGCAGCGTCTTAATGACCGACGTGGTGTGAGTGTGTGTGCATGCTGTGCTTCCCTTCCTCAGTCATATCCCCCTCCCGGCCCTCTAAGAGAGGAGCACCCAGACAGTTATTATTAGTCAAGGCGGCTGGTGGAGAGACACAGACTGACTCTCAACACCTCTTTACTTCCCTGCTAGTATTATTCTCATTACAGCTCAGACAGTCTGTATTGAACAAATCCTTTAATTAATCAACCAGAGTCCCCTGTGCCTGCAGTTTCGTACGGGACTCATACAGAACTCTCTCCAGAACTATCCCAGACAGTCACTCAGACAGAACTCTCTCCAGAACTATCCCAGACAGTCACTCAGACAGAACTCTCTCCAGAACTATCCCAGACAGTCAACGTTGTCAACATTGTAAGAAGCTCTAACTTTCCCTCTGATGCTGTGAGGTCCCTATGAGTGAAACAGTCCTCAAAACTACTGACCAACAATTCAACAGATATACAATTTTAGAGGTACACTACCGCTCAAAAGTTTGGGGTCACTTCTAAATGTCCTTGTTTTCGAAAGAAAAGCATTTTTTTTGTCCATTAAAATAACATCAAATTGATCAGAAATACAGTGTAGACATTGGTAATGTTGTAAATGGCTATTGTAGCTGGAAACGGCTGATTTGTAATGGAATATCTACATAGGTGTACAGAGGCCCATTATCAGCAACCATCAGTCCTGTGTTCCAATGGCAAGTTGTGTTTGCTAATCCAGTTGATCATTTAAAAGGCTAATTGATCATTAGAAAACCCTTTTGCAATTATGTTAGCACAGCTGAAAACTGTTGTGCTGATTAAAGAAGCAAAAACTGGCCTTCTTGAGACTAGTTGAGTATCTGAGCTTCAGGATGGGTAAAGTAGGAGGGTGAAGCCCTTGGCTCCCTCTCCCTGGTAGAGATACACCACCTCCACTGCCTCTGTTCCCAAACACACCTTTCATCATTGGCACTGGGAACATCATCTTCACGCTCATAAATATTTCCTGCAGGCAGCTCAAGTCGCTTTCTCTCTCTGGCTCTGCCTTCTCCTCCCGGTCTCTCTCGCTGTCCTCTTTCCCTCGCCTTTTCCTGCCCGTCTCCCCCTCTCCCTTGCCTTCTCCTCCCGGTCTCTCTCGCTGTCCTCTTTCCCTCGCCTTTTCCTGCCCGTCTCCCCCTCTCCCTTGCCTTCTCCTCCCGGTCTCTCTCTCTGTCCTCTTTCCCTCACCTTTTCCTACCCGTCTCCACCTCTCTCTCTGCCTTGCCTTCTCCTCCCTGTCTCTCTCTCTGTCCTCTTTCCCTCGCCTTTTCCTGCCCGTCTCCCCCGCTCTCTCACGCTCAGACATTCCCCTCCATTTTCCTCTCCCTCCTAAAGCATTTGCTGATACTGCTCCACTCGCTGCGATGTTACAGTATGTGGGTTGTTGCCCATAACAAGAGAACAAGCAACTCTCTTCTTGACATCTTATTCTCACAGTTTGTTTGGGCTTTCAGAATCAGCTCTCTGACACGCAAACACAGCTAGAATGCAGTTACGTCCATTTAAAGTGGTGTAAGCATTTCACATATCAATTCAATTTGAAATGTTTTAACCATGCAATGGAAATACTGCATCAAATTAGTGCTACCAGTGTTGCAAATGAAGTGTGGGAATAGAGTCGTCCATAAATAACATATGAAAATAACATATGAAAACATACACTCACTGGCCAGTTTATTAGGTACATCTAGTACTGGGTCGGACCCCCCTTTGCCTCCAGAACAATCGGAATTCTTCGGGCATGGATTCCACAAGTCGGAAATGTTCCACAGGGATGTTGGTCCATGCTGACGCGATGGCATCACACAGTTTCTGCAGATTGGACAGTGGTACACCGCTGCCACCAGCCTATACCGTAGACACCAGGCAGGATGGGTCCATGGACTCATGCTGCTTACGCCAAATCCTGACTCTGCCATCAGCATGATGCAACAGGAATCGGGATTTGTCGGAGCAGGCAATGTTTTTCCACTCCTCAATTGTCCAGTGTTGGTGATCGTGTGTCCACTGGAGCCTTCTTGTTTTTAGCTGATTGGAGTGGAACCTGGTGTGGTCGTCTGCTGCAATAGCCCATCCGTGACAAGAATTGATGAGTTGCGTGTTCCGAGATGCCATTCTGCTCACCCTGTTGTACTGCGCCATTATTTGTCTGTTTGTAGCCTGCCTGTTAACTTGCACGATTCTTGCCATTTTCCTTCGACCTCTCTCATCAACAAGCTGTTTCGCCCACAGGACTGCCGCTGACTGGATGATTTTTGTTTATCGCACCATTCTCGGGAAACCCTAGACACTGTCGTGCGTGAAAAGCCCAGGGGGGTGTCAGTTTCTGAGATTCTGGATCCGCCGTGCCTGGCACTGACGATCATACCACGCTCAAAGTCGCTTAGGTCACTTGTTTTGCCCATTCTAATGTTCAATCGAATAGTAACTGAATGCCTCGATGCCTGTCTGCCTGCTTTATATAGCAAGCCACGGCCACCTGACTCACTGTCTGTAGGAGCGATCCATTTTCATGAACGGGTGGTGTACCTAGTCTAATTGCCATATGTTCTTGTTTACAAAGATATGAAGCCGCTGAATCATGCATGCTTGCCACAGCCGGGATCCATCCAATCAAAACTCCCACCCGATTCTAAAAGTTCTACTTCAATCTGTGTTTAGCTGGGGAGGTTCTCCCTGGAGAAGTAGGCAAGTGTCAGTCAGCACTCATCATCGCTCAATATAAATAAATAAGAAAAGGCACCCAGTAGGCAGCGTCTTAATGACCGACGTGGTGTGAGTGTGTGTGCATGCTGTGCTTCCCTTCCTCAGTCATATCCCCCTCCCGGCCCTCTGAGAGAGGAGCACCCAGACAGTTATTATTAGTCAAGGCGGCTGGTGGAGAGACAGACTGACTCTCAACACCTCTTTACTTCCCTGCTAGTATTATTCTCATTACAGCTCAGACAGTCTGTATTGAACAAATCCTTTAATTAATCAACCAGAGTCCCCTGTGCCTGCAGTTCGTACGGGACTCATACAGAACTCTCTCCAGAACTATCCCAGACAGTCACTCAGACAGAACTCTCTCCAGAACTATCCCAGACAGTCACTCAGACAGAACTCTCTCCAGAACTATCCCAGACAGTCAACGTTGTCAACATTGTAAGAAGCTCTAACTTTCCCTCTGATGCTGTGAGGTCCCTATGAGTGAAACAGTCCTCAAAACTACTGACCAACAATTCAACAGATATACAATTTTAGAGGTACACTACCGCTCAAAAGTTTGGGGTCACTTCTAAATGTCCTTGTTTTCGAAAGAAAAGCATTTTTTTTGTCCATTAAAATAACATCAAATTGATCAGAAATACAGTGTAGACATTGGTAATGTTGTAAATGGCTATTGTAGCTGGAAACGGCTGATTTGTAATGGAATATCTACATAGGTGTACAGAGGCCCATTATCAGCAACCATCAGTCCTGTGTTCCAATGGCAAGTTGTGTTTGCTAATCCAGTTGATCATTTAAAAAGGCTAATTGATCATTAGAAAACCCTTTTGCAATTATGTTAGCACAGCTGAAAACTGTTGTGCTGATTAAAGAAGCAATAAAACTGGCCTTCTTGAGACTAGTTGAGTATCTGGAGCATTAGCAGTTGTGGGTTAGATTACAGGCTCAAAATGGCTAGAAACAAATAACTTTCTTATGAAACTCGTCAGTCTATTATTGTTCTGAGAAATGAAGGCTATTCCATGTGAGAAATTGCCAAGAAACTGAAGATCTCATACAACGCTGTGTAATACTCCCTTCACAGAACAGCGCAAACTGGCTCTAACCAGAATGAAAGAGGAGTGGGAGGCCCCGGTGCACAACTGAGCAAGAGGACAAATACATTAGTGTCTTGTTTGAGAAACAGACGCCTCACAGGTCCTCAACTGGCAGCTTCACGGAGTCGCCTCTTCACTGTTGACGTTGAGACTGGTGTTTTGAGGGTACTATTTAATGAAGCTGCCAGTTGAGGACCCCCCAACTCACAAATCTTGGGAAAAAGTTTGCTCCACATTGGTATATAAGCTGGCCAGTCTAAAAGCTTTGCTAATGAACTTATAATGAACACGTAATATCAACGCTCCCTTCTGGGAGAAGAGCCATCGTCTTTTGAAACAAACTCAGTTTTGTAATTAAGAAGAACAGATGCAGTAGCTGAGGAACAACGGTCCTCTGGCCAGACTGACTATCTGGCTGACTGACACACTACTACACATGCAGTGTGTGTGTGTGTGTGTGTGTGTGTGTGTGTGTGTGTGTGTGTGTGTGTGCGTGCGTGCGTGTGCGTGTGTGTGCGTGTGCTGGCGTATCCATCGGTCGTTAATTGCCGGCGAGGACATGACAAGGACTCATCCATCCGGGGCTGTTTTGATGCAGTTTGCATGACAGGGGCTGACGACTGAGTCTGCTGCATGCCCTTGACTTGCAGTTGGCAAACAATGCCTGTAGGGCCTTGTAGGAGGATCATTACTGCATGGATCTCCCCCCACCCCTTCCCTCCCCCTTGCTGAGGCAGGTGCAGCAGACTTACCCCTTCCCGAAGGCACCTCATTAACACCGTGTAGGCGGCAGCAGGAACGACCCACAGCTCTCCTGGGTACTCTTTCTTCTCCTCCTGCGGGGAGAGAGAGGGAAGAGAAGGGAAGAGAAGGGAAGAGAAGGGAAGAGAAGGGAAGAGAAGGGAAGGTCTGTAGTGGAGACAGAGAGGACTCCTGTAGTGGCTCATTGGGGGAACAATTAGGGCAAAACAAAGCAGCAGCAGCTAGCGTAATTAGGCTAAATAAATAAGCCCGAAACAACGTTCACAAATGCTCTAGCTAGCTACCAAATTTGGAACTTTGGAAATTCCTTTGGTACTGGTGAGGTAATGTGTGTTATAATGTCATTGTAAACTGGGGATATGTGAACATATTGACAGTAAACAGTGGGTTTATGATGAGTGATGTAGTGGACCAAAACCAAATGGAAACACTGTTTACACACCTGTTATATTTTCAGAATAATCTTTATGCACCTATTACACTACATGTGAATTTGTTTTGCGTTAGCTATCATTTACGCTATTCTCCTCCCGACATCTCCACTGGTGCTCACACTTTCATCACTACATCCCTGTTAATGAGGCCTTTGATCATACACTGCCCTGCATGCAGATGTAGGATCTTAATTTGATCACTCTTTTGTTGCTGAGAATTTTCTATGCAAACTTGTAGTGTATTCAAATTTTAAAAAGGCTTCAAAAGTTTGTAATTTCCACTTTGAAATTTCAGACTTGATTTGCCCTAACGAAAAATGTATCAACCCCTACAAAAATGTTGTTGCTGCAGGATTATTTTCCTGCTGTAGCAAACTGTCTCAAATTAAGATCCTACATCTGTAGTGTTCAGAGAGCCCATTAACCACAAGGCTTGCTTTTACCTAAGGTCTGCTTTTATGCCATCTATTCATTTTTCTGTGTTTTTGCTTTCTATTTTGCTATGTAATAAAGTATACCTACAGTACATCAATCCTCATACAGATTTTTTCCCCATTTTGTCCATCATGCAGTAATAATAATCTGAAAGGGCCTCGAAATGTCACTCGCTTCTCAGAATACTGAAATGATTTAGAGGCATCTCTATTATTCTGTGGATATGGTGTATGAATTCATAAGATTCTCAACATAAAATAGGAGAAAGATAATTGTCGGGTGTACCAATATGGTGTGGATCCATAACACGCAATTACTCTTCACAGGTATTTTTATTAAACTAGAACTAACCTACCCGAATTAAGCCTTGAAAGCACATTCCCATACAGTAAAACACTTTGTGGAGAAAATCAAATAGCCAATAGTGAATAAAGGGCACTTTGAAACCCCTTACCTCTATTGGTTAATCAGCCAATAAAGTCAATAGCCATTGTGTGTGTGCTGCACTGAGTGACCCTGACAAACTGGACAGCTCAGAGAGGAATTACCCTGAAACTAAAGATAATATCACACCAGCAGGAACCTTCATGTGTGTCTACATGGCTTTCAGGTGCAGCGGGAGATCAAGACAGCTTACAGTCAAAAGGACAGGGTGAAAGTTAAAACAGCTCTTTTGCATAGCTTTTCAATGGAACAATAAACTAGTGGCAAACCATTACTGATCTATTTTTTACTTTACACTTATTTTTCTTAAAACTGCTTTGTTGGTTAAGGGCTTGTAAGTAAGCATTTCACTGTAAGGTCTACACCTGCTGTATTCGGCGCATGTGACAAAATTTAATTTGATGTAGAGCGATAGGTCATTTAGTGTTTTCAAACCCTTGCACAAACATCAAACACAAAAACCAAATACAGACAGACAAACATCTTTAAGTGCTTTAAGTGCTGATATTACTGAGAGTGCTTAAATACAGTAGTTGTTTAAGCAGGTATCTTTGTGGTAGATTATCGACAGTATCAGAATATCATCATAAAGGCCTACGCCAACAGACTTATTAGTCACTTTGTGACAACTGCTAATATAAAAAGGGCTTTATAAAATACATTTGATTGATTGATTGAATAGAAGTTATTAGGTCTCATTCATTGTACCCAAAATTGGCATTCATTTCACACACTCATTTCATTAAGACAGTAGTATGCATAGGGTTGAAAGAGCACTGATTTGGAGTATATCATCACCTGTGTTGCGATGAGGTAGAGCAGCTCCCCCAGTGGTGGCAGCAGGCACTGCTTCAGTTTGCTGTTCCTGAAGTTCTCCCTGATCAGCTCCGTGAACATGACAACAGCCTGGAGAATGCACTAGTATCAGTCAGTCACTCACAGTTGTGACAGCACTCCTACCCTTCACAACGCTTTATATTGAATAATGTACCCTATCAAGACTGGATACGCAACAGTGTACAGACACAGAGTAGAATACTGTGCTATAGCAGAAGTTTTATTTTTCCCCATTACATCCTGTTATTTTTCTACTTCAGCACTAAGGCCTATATTGTTAATGAGTGACCACCAGACTGCATCAAACGGTGTACATTAATAAACTATGAGGCCTGTAGACCTGACAGATTTAAAGCCCATGAAGCCAACATTATAACACTATAAAGGGTATGGAGCTACATTATAACACTATTAAGGGTATGGAGCTACATTATAACACTATAAAGGGTATGGAGCTACATTATAACACTATAAAGGGTATGGAGCTACATTATAACACTATAAAGGGTATGGAGCTACATTATAACACTATTAAGGGTATGGAGCTACATTTATAACCACTATAAAGGGTATAGCTACATTATAACACTATAAAGGGTATAGGAGCTACATTATAACACTTAAAAGGGTATGGAGCTACAGTATAACACTATATGAACGGGTATGGAGCTACATTATAACACTATAAAGGGTATAGAGCTACATTATAACATTATTAAGGGTATGGAGCTACATTATAACCACTATAAAGGGTATAGGAGCTACATTATAACACTATAAAGGGTATGGAGCCTACATTATAACACTATAAAGGGTATAGAGCTACATTATAACACTATTAAGGGGTATGGAGCTAACATTATAACCACTATAAAGGGTATGGAGCTACATTATAACACTATAAAGGGTATGGAGCTACATTATAACACTATAAGGGTATGGAGCTACATTATAACACTATAAAGGGTATGGAGCTACATTATAAACACTATTAAAGGGTTATAGAGCTACATTATAACACTATAAAGGGTATGGAGCTACATTATAACCACTATTAAGGGTATAGAGCTACATTATACACTATTACGGGTATGGAGCTACATATAACACTATAAAGGGTATGGAGCTACATTATAACACTATTAAGGGTATGGAGCTACATTATAACACTATTAAGGGTATGGAGCTACATTATAACACTATAAAGGGTATAGAGCTACATTATAACACTATAAAGGGTATGGAGCTACATTATAACACTATAAAGGGTATAGAGCTACATTATAACACTATTTGTATTTTATTTTCTATTTATTTAAACTTTATTTAACCAGGTAAGCCAGTTGAGAACAAGTTCTCATTTACAACTGCGACCTGGCCAAGATAAAGCAAAGCAGTGCGATAAAAACAACAACACAGAGTTACATATGGGGTAAACAAAACATAAAGTCAAAAATACAACAGAAAATATATATATACAGTGTGTGCAAATGTTGTAAGTTATGGAGCTAAGGCAATAAATAGGCCATAGTGCAAAATAGTTACAATTTCGTATTAACACTGGAATGATAGATGTGCAAAAGATGATGTGCAAATAGAGATACTGGGGTGCAAATTAGCAAAATAAATAACAATATGGGGATGAGGTAGTTGGGTGGGCTAATTTAAGAATGGCTGTGTACAGGTGCAGTGATCGGTAAGGTGCTCTGACAACTGATGCTTAACGTTAGTGAGGGAGATAAGAGTCTCCAGCTTCAGAGATTTTTGCAGTTCGTTCCAGTCATTGGCAGCAGAGAACTGGAAGGAATGGCGGCCAAAGGAGGTGTTGGCTTTGGGAATGACCAGTGAGATATACCTGCTGGAGCGCAGACTACGGGTGGGTGTTGCTATGGTGACCAGTGAGCTAAGATAAGACGGGGATTTGCCTAGCAGTGATTTATAGATGACCTGGAGCCAGTGGGTTTGGCGACGAATATGTAGTGAGGGCCAGCCAACACGAGCATACAGGTCACAATGGTGGGTAGTATATGGGGCTTTGGTGACAAAACGGATGGCACTGTGATAGACTACATCCAATTTGCTGAGTAGAGTGTTGGAGGCTATTTTGTAAATGACATCGCCGAAGTCAAAGATCGGTAGGATAGTCAGTTTTACGAGGGCATGTTTGGCAGCATGAGTGAAGGAGGCTTTGTTTGCGAAATAGGAAGCCGATTCTAGATCTAACTTTTGATTGGAGATGCTTAATGTGAGTCTGGAAGGAGAGTTCACAGTCTAACCAGACACCTAGGTATTTGTAGTTGTCCACATACTCTAGGTCAGACCCGCCGAAAGTAGTGATTCTATGGTGGGGGGGTGGGGCTGGGCACGCAGCGTTCGGTTGAAGAGTAGGAGCTTTACTTAACACTATAAAGGGTAGGGAGCTACATTATAACAAACACTATAAAGGGTATGGAGCTACATATTAACCCTATAAAGGGGCTGGAGCTACAGTATAACACGATAAAGGGTATGGCTACCTCTAACACTATAAAGGGTATGGAGCTACAGTGGTTTTTGATAACAACTATAAAGGGTATGGAGCCTAAAATTATAACACGTATAAAGGGGTATGAAGTACATGATAACCTATTAAGGGTATGGAGGCTACATTATAACACTATAAAGGTATGGAGCTACCCTTATAAACTATAAAGGGTAATGGAGCTACATTTATACAACCTATTAAGGTATGGAGCTACATTATACACTATTACGGGTATGGTAGACACCTTATAACACTATTAAGGGTATGGAGCTACATTATAAAACACTATAAAGGGTATGGAAGATAATTATAACACATTAAGGGTATGGATCCTACATTATAACACTATAAAGGGTATGGGCTACATTAAACACTATACCGGGTATGGAGTACATTATAACACTATAAGGGATGGAGCTACCATTATAACACTATTAAAGGGTATGAAGCTACATTATTACCACTATTAAGGGTATGGAGTACATTATAACATATTACGGGTATGGAGCTCATTATAACACTATAAGGGTATGGAGCTACATTATAACACTTAAAGGGTATGGAGCTACATTATAACACGATAAAGGGTATGGAGCTTCATTTAACACTATAAAGGGTATGGAGATAACATTATAACACTATAAAGGGTATGGAGTACATTATAACATATAAAGGGATGGAGGCTACATTGAACACTATAAATGGTATGGGAGCTACATTATAACACTATAAAGGGTATGGAGCTACAAATTTATAAACACTATAAGGGTATGGAGCTACATTATAACCACGTAAGGGTATGGAGCTTACATGATAAGGGTAGGGAGCTACATTATACACTATTACGGGTATGGGAGCTACATTATAACATATAATGAGTGGCGCAGTGGTCTAAGGCACTGCATCGCAGTGCTAACTGTGCCACTAGAGATCCTGGTTCGAATCCAGGCTCTGTCGCAGCCGGCCGCGACGGGAGACTCATGGCGGCGCACAATTGGCCCAGCGTCGTCCAGGGTAGGGGAGGGAATGGCGGCAGGGATGTAGCTCAGTTGATAGAAGCATGGCGTTTTGCAACGCCAGGGTTGTGGGTTCGATTCCCACGGGGGGCCAGTATAAAAATAATATGTATTCACTAACTGTAAGTCGCTCTGGATAAGAGCGTCTGCTAAATGACCAAAATGTAAATGTAAATGTAAATGTTATAACACTATAAAGGGTATGGAGCTACATTATAACACTATAAAGGGGTATGGAGCTACACTTATAACACTATAAAGGGTATGGAGCTACATTATAACACTATAAAGGGTATGGAGCTACATTATAACACTATAAAGGGTATGGAGCTACATTATAACACTATAAAGGGTATGGAGCTACATTATAACACTATAAAGGGTATGGAGCTACATTATAACACTATAAAGGGTATGGAGCTACATTATAACACTATAAAGGGTATGGAGCTACATTATAACACTATTAAGGGTATGGAGCTACATTATAACACTATAAAGGGTATGGAGCTACATTATAACACTATAAAGGGTATGGAGCTACATTATAACAATATAAAGGGTATAGAGCTACATTATAACACTATAAAGGGTATGGAGCTACATTATAACACTATAAAGGGTATGGAGCTACATTATAACACTATAAAGGGTATGGAGCTACATTATAACACTATTAAGGGAATGGAGCTACATTATAACACTATAAAGGGTATGGAGCTACATTATAACACTATTACGGGTATGGAGCTACATTATAACACTATAGTGAGTGGCGCAGTGGTCTAAGGCACTGCATCGCAGTGCTAACTGTGCCACTAGAGATCCTGGTTCGAATCCAGGCTCTGTCGCAGCCGGCCGCGACCGGGAGACTCATGGGCGGCGCACAATTGGCCCAGCGTCGTCCAGGGTAGGGGAGGGAATGGCCGGCAGGGATGTAGCTCAGTTGATAGAGCATGGCGTTTGCAACGCCAGGGTTGTGGGTTCGATTCCCACGGGGGGCCAGTATAAAAAATATATGTATTCACTAACTGTAAGTCGCTCTGGATAAGAGCGTCTGCTAAATGACCAAAATGTAAATGTAAATGTAAATGTTATAACACTATAAAGGGTATGGAGCTACATTATAACACTATAAAGGGTATGGAGCTACATTATAACACTATAAATGGTATGGAGCTACATTATAACATTATAAAGGGTATGGAGCTACATTATAACACTATTAAGGGTATGGAGCTACATTATAACACTATAAAGGGTATGGAGCTACATTATAACACTATAAAGGGTATGGAGCTACATTATAACACTATAAGGGTATGGAGCTACATTATAACACTATTAAGGGTATGGAGCTACATTATAACACTATAAAGGGTATGGAGCTACATTATAACACTATTAAAGGGTATGGAGCTACATTATAACACTATTAAGGTATGGAGCTACATTATAACACTATAAAGGGTATGGAGCTACATTATAACACTATAAAGGGTATGGAGCTACATTATAACACTATTAAGGTTATGGAGCTACATTATAACACTATAAAGGGTATGGAGCTACATTATAACACTATAAAGGATATGGAGCTCCATTATAACAATATAAAGGGTATAGAGCTACATTATAACACTATAAAGGGTATGGAGCTACATTATAACACTATAAAGGGTATGGAGCTACATTATAACACTATAAAGGGTATGGAGCTAGAATTAACTGGATAGAGGACTGAGGTGGGAGGGAGGAGGAAGGCTGATGAGACTCCATATAAAACATGTCATTATGGTGTTATTGGAAGGATCCACATAATAACCCTTCCCTAACAAAGACACACACATAAATTCACATATATGCAAACCCACACCCTAACTTCGTGGAATTAGCATTTTCCTAGTCTCGTCCTCTTCAGAAGTGGGGAGGATGTGATGGGCTTACTGCGGCAGCGCTCCCAGCAGGGTGCTATGCAAATAGGCAGCACACTCAGTGCGAGGCTGCCTGGTGCTGGCTGGTAAAGGACATAAATGGTGACTTTGCAGGGAACAGATGTTTGGCTCACGTTTGATGCGAGAGAAAAACGCGGCTTTGGCAGGAGAGATGTCCTGCAACTGACTGACGATTCACTGTTCAAGAAAACAAACAGGCTAAGTTGGAGCCGCAACACACGGCTACTTCCTCCAAACGCATCATTATCGCTCCTGTACAATCCGCAACTACCCCCCTCCTCCATCACTCCAACCCATAAGGCAGAGCTTTAAACTACTGAGGCTGCAGGCGGTTTAAGGCCACGCAACATTAAGCATCCCTGCGAGGCTTGGGGAGTGAGCGAGACAGAGTGAGAGACAGAGTGAGAGACAGAGTGAGAGACAGAGTGAGAGACAGAGAGACCAGTTTTGTTACTCATCATCACTATCATCACGTCTCAGCCGTGGTTCAGAACAACACATGAGACTGGACTCGTACTGGAGACAGAGATCCGTGGTTCAGAACAACACATGAGACTGGACTCGTACTGGAGACAGAGATCCGTGGTTCAGAACAACACATGAGACTGGACTCGTACTGGAGACAGAGATCCGTGGTTCAGAACAACACATGAGACTGGACTCGTACTGGAGACAGATCCGTGGTTCAGAACAACACATGAGACTGGACTCGTACTGGAGACAGAGATCCGTGATTCAGAACAACACATGAGACTGGACTCGTACTGGAGACAGAGATCCGTGGTTCAGAACAACACATGAGACTGGACTCGTACTGGAGACAGAGATCTGTGGTTCAGAACAACACATGAGACTGGACTCGTACTGGAGACAGAGATCCGTGGTTCAGAACAACACATGAGACTGGACTCGTACTGGAGACAGAGATCCGTGATTCAGAACAACACATGAGACTGGACTCGTACTGGAGACAGAGATCCGTGGTTCAGAACAACACATGAGACTGGACTCGTACTGGAGACAGAGATCTGTGGTTCAGAACAACACATGAGACTGGACTCGTACTGGAGACAGAGATCCGTGGTTCAGAACAACACATGAGACTGGACTCGTACTGGAGACAGAGATCCACATACAAAAGCAACTCAGCAGGCATGAAGACAAACAATCACACCAAGAGCAATGGGCCAAAGTCACATGAAAATACTACATTTTTTAATGATTGACAAATAACAATGCTACTGCTTTGTTAGTTTAGATTTTAACATTTGATTTAAACATCACATTAATGCAACTGATCAATTGAATCAATTAAATGTCCCTGGTATGTGATTTAGCCTAATGAATATATTGTGGCATGTAGTGGCTTGAGCCTATTCATTCACCGATTACAAACAGGGGGGCAGGTAGGACAGACAAACAGACAGACAGACATGTCCTGATGTCTTATTGATGGAGGGAGCTAGCTAATAACAAACAGTGATTGACTAAAGGTGACCTGCTGTGCTATAGTGTGGTCGATCAATATCCCGCGGTTGTCCAGAAGAAGACATGCGTTTGATGTAGGGCTGACGGGCTGCGACAGACCTGACCTCAGGCGTTTCATGAGCCTATGGTCAGTCCCATAGATTACCAATGGCCTCTGCCTATAGTTATCAGGACTTGAGACTGATTGCTTGGCCAGCGAGCAATAATTGACTCAAGCCATTATGGATGTGTTTTTGATGATGAATACATGGATACCAAATGATTCAAATGTTTTTGGAGTAATGGATAAACAAACTAAATTTAACAAACCTAAAATTCCCTAAAATAACAATCTTTACACAATCACAGTTTGGCAAAAGACACAAGAAACCAAACTGAATCGAATCAACAGCAGTGTTCATTGGCCCCAGCACTCTGTTCCTTTTCCAGTAGTGAGGAGGGAGAACTAGCCTCCAAGCCCCGTCTGAGGAAGTGGAACGGGCTAATTCTCCCACAATGAGAGGAGGGAGGGAGGCAGGAGGCAGTCTGCAGGGACGGCCGGCACGGCACACTAGGCCAGTTTCTAAGGGACGCTGGGTGGAAACAGCAGACAGTGTGTGCAACACTATTGACGCGCTGCCATGAGAGAGAGAAAATGTCTGAATTGAGGTTTGGTGGTTTGTGGCACAGGAAAGTACTGCCTCTGCCAGGGAAGATAACACTTCATTAGAATGATGTTGGAGTATCCATAGAGACAGGCAGAGGAAAGAGGATAATACTGAACTAATTCCTCTCTTCCTGTCCTAACTAAGCCTACAGTATGCCTGAAAAATAGCACCTGCAGTCATTGCCGCTCACTGTTTTAAAGGACTGTGAGAAATGTAGGTTTGTAAAGATAATGTAGGGCCAAATTGACGTCTGATTCTGTTATGTAGCCTATTGAGCGTACCGAGGCACCAAATTCAACGCTGACAATAAACATTGAACTATGCGGCATTGTAACTTGTGATTCTCATTGTGAGAACTCCTTTCAAAAGACAATTGGAGCAACAGAAGCCCGGACCAAGAGAGAGAAAACCCATCTCGTCTCACAGTGGAAACTTTAACTGGGATCACGGACGACCACTGAGATCCACAGTGTGGCAGACATATGGTGGTGGCGGGAACAATAGCCCTGCCCTGACGCAGAAATCGCCATGACTGCGGCTGACCATCAGACACAGAACCCCTGTAGAGAGCACAATGATAAAAGTCTCTGGGATCTGTCACTCTGGGAATCTGAGCAAGCTGTGCCCAGATGGGTGGTGGGGGGCGGGGCGACAAATCAAATCCTCAGCCATCTTTAGAAAAGAAGACTGTGGAGAAAATAAAAAGTTGCTGCGCCATTCTCTGGTGTGCCGACTAACGGCGGCCATTTTGTATATCGCTCGTATACCCCTCCTTCTATCTCTCTACCTCTATGAGCTTTAAACCTATAAACCACCACAGAAAATCATGGAAAACCCCATGTAAGACGTGGATCAAGGGTGGAGGCGCCAGATTTCACATCAAATAGAATCCTGTTTTTTTTAATGATTAACCGCAATGCCTTTGACGGTTTGTTAACGGCTCTATAAGCATGTTTGGGCAGGTCGGTTGGTAGCGCTTGTTTAGAGCTCTACCTACCGCTGGGTTACAGTGGCATCTGGTGATTCACCCTGGTACTTCCTCTCACTACCGCTCCCATTGGATGATCATAAAGCCGCATAGAGACTAGACTTCTATGGCTCTGCTGCGATTAGTAACAGATTTAGGGGATTTTAATTCAACAGATTTGACTGTTGTTGTTGATGTTGTAGGGGTCTTTCACATAGTTAGAATTGTGTGCATGTGTAAAAGATTGAGAGGCGTTTGTATTGCGACTATTACACGGTCTGCTTTGGTTCTAACAGTTAAAGGTCTGTTCAACTATTCAGGAGCTCATGGCTTTGATAGTTATATGTGACACACCCGACCAAATCGCAAATGGCACCCTATTCCCTACATAGTGCCATAGCCCTATGCATTTGGAACACATCCACCATTGATACACAGAGGACAAGCACAGGTGCTGTGACAATAGGGTGAAGGGGCCCAGTGCAGTGCAGCTGGATTATGCCAGCGTCAGCAGTGTGACAGACAGTTCCACTAACCTCAGTGACAGGGGTCTCCTCTCTGAGCTCAGTGCAATGGGATGCCAGCAGCCCCAGAACCCGCATCACCTTAGACTTCCTGGAATACACACACACACACACACACACACACACACACACACAGGACACAGGTCTAACCATAAATACATGACACTGTTTTAACCTGAAATACAAAAACATCCATAGAAATAGGCCACTAATGCTATAGACTTCCTGGAATAGACACACAGGACACTGGTCTAAATACATGGAAATCATCCACAGAAATAATACTACTATTTTCTACATCATTTTATCACCATTTAGTAAGAAGTGCTGCTGTAATTATATTTATTTAATCCGTACAACATCCGTTCTTAATTCATTTAATCATTGAAAAACAAAATAGAATCCTCAAGTCAAAACTCGTTAAATGATCCTGATGATGGATATAACTCTAACAGTGATTTACAGAACATCCAGACCAGGCACCAGATCATTGTAAACGCTAGTGCAGTAGGCTACAGTACATGCTAGACATTATTTCCATGCATTGGCGCATGGAGAATGCAGAGAGTGATTGTATGTATGTATGGGGTCGGACAGGTGGAAGCTAAAGGAACTCACACATCCCAGTTGGGTGCTAGTCGCAGCTGCTGGGTCAACACAGGGAACTGTTACAAAGGGAGAGGACAGAACAGCAGTTGGTTAACGCTGTAATATACAGTTGAAGTCGGAAGTTTACATACACTTAGGTTGGAGTCATTAAAACTCGTTTTTCAACCACTCCACAAATTTCTTGTTAACAACCTATTGTTTTGGCAAGTCGGTTAGGACATCTACTTTGTGCATGACACAAGTAATTTTTCCAACAATTGTTTACAGACAGATTATTTCACTTATAATTCACTGTATCACAATTCCAGTGGGTCAGAAGTTGACTGTGCCTTTAAACAGCTTGGAAAATTCCAGAAAATGATGTCATGGCTTTAGAAGCTTCTGATAGGCTAATTGACATCATTTGAGTCAATTGGAGGTGTACCTGTGGATGTATTTCAAGGCCTACCTTCAAACTCAGTGCCTCTTTGCTTGACATCATGGGAAAATCAAAATAAATCAGCCAAGACCTCAGAAAAAAAATTGTAGACCTCCACAAGTCTGGTTCATCCTTGGGAGCAATTACCAAACGCCTGAAGGTACCACGTTCATCTGTACAAACAATAGTACGCAAGTATAAACATCATGGGACCACGCAGCCGCCATACCGCTCAGGAAGGAGACGCGTTCTGTCTCCTAGAGATTAACGTACTTTAGTGCGAAAAGTGCAAATCAATCCCAGAACAACAGCAAAGGACCTTGTGAATATGCTGGAGGAAACAGGTACAAAAGTATCTATATCCACAGTAAAACGAGTCCTATATTACATTTATGTCATTTAGCTGACGCTCTTATCCAGAGCGACTTACAAATTGGTGCATTCACCTTATAGCCAGTGGGATAACCACTTTACAATATTTTTTATTTTTTTTGGGGGGGGGGTGGGGTAAGGGGGGGGTAGAAGGATTACTTTATCCTATCCAAGGTATTCCTTAAAGAGGTGGGGTTTCAAGTGTCTCCGGAAGGTGGTGAGTGACTCCGCTGTCCTGGCGTCGTGAGGGAGCTTGTTCCACCATTGGGGTGCCAGAGCAGCGAACAGTTTTGACTGGGCTGAGCGGGAACTGTGCTTCCACAGAGGTAGGGGGGCCAGCAGGCCAGAGGTGGATGAACGCAATGCCCTCGTTTGGGTGTAGGGACTGATCAGAGCCTGAAGGTACGGAGGTGCATTTGTATTGTATCTATCGACATAACCTGAAAGGCCACTCAGCAAGGAAGAAGCCACTGCTCCAAAATCGCCATAAAAAAGCCAGACTACGGTTTGCAACTGCACATGGGGACAAAGATCATACTTTTTGGAGAAATGTCCTCTGGTCTGATGAAACAAAAATAGAACTGTTCGGCCATAATGACCATCGTTATGTTTGGAGGAAAAAGGGGGTTGCTTGCAAGCTGAAGAACAACATCCCAACCGTGAAGCACGGGGGTGGCAGCATTATGCTGTGGGGGTGCTTTGCTGCAGGAGGGACTGGTGCACTTCACAAAATAGATGGCATCATGAGGAAGGAAAAGTATGTGGATATATTGAAGCAACATCTCAAGACATCAGTCAGGAAGTTAAAGCTTGGTCGCAAATGGGTCTTCCAAATGGACAATGACCCCAAGCATACTTCCAAAGTTGTGGCAAAATGGCTTAAGGACAACAAAGTCAAGGTATTGGAGTGGCCATCACAAAGCCCTGACCTCAATCCTATAGAACATTTGTGGGCAGAACTGAAAAAGCATGTGTGAGCAAGGAGGCCTACAAACCTGACTCAGTTACACCAGCTCTGTCAGGAGGAATGGGCCAAAATTCACCCAACTTAATGTGGGAAGCTTGTGGAAGGCTACCCGAAACGTTTGACCCAAGTTAAACAATTTAAAGGCAATGCTACCAAATACTAATTGAGTGTATGTAAACTTCTGACCCACTGGGAATGTGATTAAATAAATAAAAGCTGAAATAAATCATTCTCTCTACTATTATTCTGACATTTCACATTCTTAAAATAAAGTGGTGATCCTAACTGACCTAAAACAGGGAATTTGTACTAGGATTAAATGTCAGGAATTGTGAAAAACTGAGTTTAAATGTATTTGGCGAAGGTGTATGTACATTTCCGACTTCAACGTATGTCAGTCAGTTCAGTCGTCTTTCAGTAGTACAGCATTGAATTAGTCATGTTACCAATACATCATTGTTATAAACTCAGTCAGGGCTGGCCATAGTGTCCGAATAAGTCCCAAAACAATGATATACTAAAAGATACAATGAGGTCTAATGATTGTGGCGATGTCATTTTCAGTTCAATCTGAGTGAGTGATGTAACTGGAATGCCATCTAGTGGTTAATAGCTATAAAAGACTCTCCGTCAGACGGAATTACTACGCCTGAATCAATCCTCAGTCTGGACATTTCATTAAAAACGAATGAAGAGATTTGATCTTTAAATTTGACCAGATTAATGTCCCATATGTCACAACTTAATACCTCGTCACTGTAACGAGGAAGCAACTTTATGATATTGGCAACAGAGTTCTGTGTGTCCCAAATGGCACCCTATTCCCTACATAGTGCACTACTTTTGACTGGGCCCAATTCAAAAGTGCACTATGTAGGGAATAGGGTGTCATTTGGGACGTCCTCCTGGTCTTTGTGCTCTCATACATAACTAGGGTCATTGAACATGTTAAGCTGAGCGGATCTCAGTAACAAAAAGTACAGGAAATAGGAAGTTCATTTTCTTATTATCTTGAGGAAATAACAGTGTTAACTTCCTGGTCCCACATAGCTGACTACTGTTTCAGCTTCCCGCTGATCAACAAAGGCAGACACGTATAGTAGCCATGCTGAGGAGCTCGGGGTCACATGGTAAATATAGGAAGCCTTTGATGGCTTCACAGTGCCACAGCCTTTTATCTTTCGAACACTTGAGAAACCTCAGCAAGGCCAGAGGTTGTGGAGTGATTCTAAGAATTTTCCTCTGAACACTTAAATTAGCCTAGAGGGGCCCATGTCTTGTTAGAACTCTGGCCACCAGCAGCCCTGGGAGGAATGGCAGGCATGCTGGGCATGTGGTCAGACCGTCAGGCAGTGACCCTTCCCTTACCAGCTGAGAGTTGATGAGCCTGGTAGCTGTGTCCTTGTGGGCAGCTATGGTACACAGATAGCAGAGGAGGTTGAGTTTGGAGCGGGCCGCCGCCGTGGTCTTATCAGCCTGGGTCTCCAGAGAAGAGCACAGCTGCTGTAGAAACACCCTCCAGTCCTCAGGGCTCAGACATGACAGCTTCTCCACTATAGAGGGGGGGGGGCAGAGGTGCTCAATAAATCACACAGCAGACCCAGCTTTAGCTGTCTGTCTAACCTGTGTGTGTGTGTGTGGATTAACACCTGCTACACACTTGTCAATTACAGAGTGTGTACAAGTGTTACTCAGCAGCAGCACAGCAGTCGAGAGCTTTCCTGTTTGTTCTTCTTTATTACCTGAGTATGCTCGGACACACAAAGTCTTTGAGTCATATCGCACTGGAGCAGTCTTCAGAATCTGAAAAAAATATATATATATCTTTGTTACTAGAATGCACAAGAGTTGCGGATTGCCAACCTCTGTTCTTAAGCGCAATTCAGAGTCCAAAGCCGAGGACCCGTGATAGTCCAGCGTCCCATTGTGACATATTTATCTGGCTCCGAGTCCACCGTCCATGGAGGACGCACAGCGTGACCGCACACTTCCCCAAAATTCCCAATCAGCACGGCTCCGCGTACGCGGCTCCTATTCATTTGAAATTGGGTGACGGTTGAAGAAATTGCTGGGAATTCGAAAAGTATGAAAGCCAACGATCCAATATTCTAGAACACTGCTGTGAGGACGTGTAACACATTTTGGACTCTGATAAGCACTTGACACAAAAATGGGTAGAAGTGGGCTGTGGAACTATTGAAAATGTCAGCCTATTCGGCATCAGACAAAGCATGTTATATTTTTTTTTACATATTGCTTAAATACAGAGCAAGTTTCAAGTTTTAATGTCACATGCACAAGTACAGTGGAATGCCTTTCTTGCTAACTCAAAACCCAACAATGCAATAATTAATAACAATGTATTTCTAGAAAGAAAACTAGAAAACAAACAGGAGAAATAAGAGCAGTACATGATGTAGTTTGTGGTACCTTTGGGTTGTCCATAATAGGTGTGACTGCCAGGTCAGAGTCAATGTACACCAGGTCCTTTATACAGCAACTGATGTCATTCAGACCACTGACCACCACACTGTCCTGAAGATGACAACAACCAGAGTGATGTCATCATTACAAATGAGCACAATTATAGTATGTGATAATTATTACTACAGCCCAATAATCGAACATCATTCAAACACCAGACTTCCAAAGATCTCATAAATGAAAGTGGCTAAAGCGGCTGAATGAAAGTGAAGTTTATAATACATAAGAATGTCCAATGTCCTTATGTATACAGTCAATTCATCTGGAAAAAAATTATAAGCGAAAAGTGGCACTTCACTGAGAATGTTGTAGAGGGCGCCAAAGGTTAACAAACAACTGTAACCGAGAATAACCTGTGAAAACAATGAATTCTCAACTACCAGTTTCTGCAGTCTACAGGCACGCCATGGTAATAGTCTATGTTTCTGAGTAAAGACAGCTCACAGAAAGATTACACTTAAAATGTAATTGTGGAGAAAGTTGCAGAGGTATGGGAGTGCTCTCCTTTGGCTCTTTGATAACAGAAGAACTCACTTGAGGTAATGGTGTCCTGTTGGGTGTATCTCTTGCAGTGCAACTCATTCTTGGAGATGGACGAGAGCTGATTGATGAAAAATATCACATAAAACATGCTTCATTTTGAGATTTAAAAAACATTCAGGAAAAAAAAAAATATATATATATATATATATATGAAATTAGTATTTTCCAGTTTGACTTACTCAAGCTGTTGATCCAACACAATGTTTAGTAAATGATCAGAACAACTGGAGTTGAACACTGATCGTACCTGAGGAGGAATATGGACTCCCTGGTATCTTTGTCCAGCGCACTCTTTGGTCTAAGCTCTGTCACGTTGTCTAGAAGAAGAAGAAGAAGAAGAAGAAGAAGAAGAAGAAGAAGAAGAAGAAGAAGAAGAAGAAGAAGAAGAAGAAGAAGAAGAAGAAGAAGAAGAAGAAGAAGAAGAAGAAGAAGAAGAAGAAGAAGAAGAAGAAGAAGAAGAAGAAGAAGAAGAAGAAGAAGAAGAAGAAGATGTTCAGACACAGCACCTACACTGTCATCAACTGTCATCAACATGTCTGCTTCCACCTTCCCAGAAAGCATTACCTAATCGGAATGATTTGTTGGGGTGCATGTAGACGGGCTCCTCTGCCCCGGCGGCCCCTGCTGCCTCTCCCTGTACGATTCTGTGTCCCCCTCCTGGTCCCTGGGAGGTCACTGAGACAGGTGTCACTGCTGATGACTGGCTAGAGGAACAGACACCACTCCTCCCCACACTGCAGCCAAAAGACAGGTCAGATATTAGTTAGTACGCAACAACTAAAATAAAACATCACCAGACTACAAACAGAAAGGAAACATGACCTTCTACCTATGTAACTACACAGTAATATGACACCTGTAGTAGCAACACTGTAGTTACATAGAACCTGTTGTCTTATTAAATAGTTATAGAGTTTAGAGGTATAGGTTATTACACAAGTGAAACAAGGACTTTTATCTTATTCTCATATTGCAGTTAGTAAATCATATTCAACATCAGCTCTGTGAAGGCCTTGTCTTACATTTACATTACATTTTAGTCATTTAGCAGACGCTCTTATCCAGAGCGACTTACAGTTAGTGAATACATATCTTTTTCTTTTTTTTTATACTGGGAATCGAACCCACAACCCTGGCGTTGCAAACACCATGCTCTATCAACTGAGCTACATCCCTGCCGGCCATTCCCTCCCCTACCCTGGACGACGCTGGGCCAATTGTGCGCCGCCCATGAGTCTCCCGGTCGCGGCCGGCTACGACAGAGCCTGGATTCGAACCAGGATCTCTAGTGGCACAGTTAGCACTGCGATGCAGTGCCTTAGACCACTGCACCCACTCAGTCTTCCTCCCACTAACACAAAACAGTACAACCCATCTGATTGGACAGGTCCCAGGCTCCATCCTGAACACACAGGCATGGTTTATGATAACATCAGACCAACATGCATTCTCAAGAAGTTATGTCATGAGAAAAGGCCGGGGAGGTAGATATGCAATTCCAAAACAGTGTTTGGCATTGAAACAGGTGAGACAGAGCTTCTCAAACAGTTTATAAATGACCGTCTATGTACATTAAACTAACATTGGCAGACAAACATTTGTCCACTTCCTACAACTGCAGAACAAAGGTTAAGACTTTAAAGGGATACTTTGGGATTTTGGCAATGAGGCCCTTTATTATCTACTTTCCCAGAGTCAGATGAACTCGTGGATACCATTTTTATGTCTCGGCGTCCAGTATGAAGGAAGTTAGAGGTAGTTTCACGAACCAATGCTAACAAGCATGCTAGCAGATACCATAGACTTCCAGTCATTGCGCTAACGCTAGTTAGCAATTGCGCTAGCGCTAGCTAGTAACTTCCTTCAAACTGCACGCAGAGATATAAAAATGGTATTCACAAGTTCATTGCCAAATTCCTAAAGTATCCCTTTAAGAGGATCAATAAAAAGCTCAAATATTCACAAAGCATCTCAGAATAAGTGTACTGATCTAGGACCAGGTCCCTGCTGTCCACGTAATCTTATTCATTGTGATTTAAAAAGGCTAAACAGATCCTATATCAGAACTCCTTCTCTGATACGCTTTGTGAATAAAGGCCCTGATTGTAATATGAAACATAAACATTACCTGGAGCTGGATGAGATATCTTCTTCTTCCTCCTTGCTGGTGTAGACCTCAGAGAACACTCCTCTCCAGAATGGGTGGGCCAGTAACTGAGTCCAGTTTATCCTGAGGAGAACAGTTCAATGCTGAAGTCTAATAAAGCACTCTCTTTCTGACCAAACTTATGTCGGCCTACTTGTCCTACACAGGTAGCCTAGCGGCTATGAGCGTTGGGCCGGTCACCGAAAGGTCGATGGTTCGAATGACCGAGCCAGCAAGGTGGAAAAATCTGCCGTTCTGCTCTTGAGCAAGGCAATTAAACCCCAACAACAACTGCTCCTCGGGCTCTGATGACGTCGATTAAGGCAGCCCCCTACACCTCTCTAATTTAAAGGGGTTGGGTTAAATGGGCTCCCAAGTGACACAGCGGTCTAAGGCACTGCATCTCAGTGCTTGAGGCGTCACTACAGACCTCCTGGTTTGATTCCAGGCTGTATCACAACGGGCCGTGATTGGGAGTCCCATAGGGCGTCGTCCGGGTTTGGCCGGTGTAGGCCGTCATTGTAAATAAGAATTTGTTCTTAACTGACTTGCCTAGTTAAATAAAGGTTAAATAAATAAATAAATAAAAAAATGTGGAAAACACAATTTGGTTGAAGGCATTCAGTTGTGCAACTGACTAGGTATCCCCCTTTCCAAAGGTTATATGTCAAAGGGATAATATTAATTATCCGTCATGGAAACTTCAAACCAAGAACCTGATTTGGTGCAGGGAGTACGGACGTACCTCTTCTGAGGGTCTTTCTGAAGCAAACCTTTAAGCAGGCTTTGGAACTCTTGTGTAGGCTTGCAGGAAGAAGTCCCTTTAACAACAAAGACAATATGGACTATAATTAAGATGCTTTTATGGCAATAAAACACATTTTGTTATTTTAAGCAATAGAAATGATTGTTTTACCACTTTGCCTTGGAGATGGAGGATCTTCAAGTAATATCAGCTCAATCAACTCAGAGAAGGTCTCGGAGAAGAATGGTGGTTTTCCTGAGAAATGACCGCAAAACAAGACAGAAGTATTTATGTATGAGATGAGTACTGTTATTCTGTAATCAATGTCAATAAATCAAGTGGTTTGATAGCCTGAGTGCCAGTCTGTTTGTGCTACAGTGCCAACTACTTGTCACTAATTGAAAATGGCAATGAGCAAAGGAGTTGGCAAGAGGACAAACAGATCTGGTCCACAGCCCAAGTGATTTGATGAGTACCTGAAAACATCTCATAGAATATACAGCCCAGGGCCCACAGATCACTACTGGTACTGGGGTCTCCTCCTTTGACCACCTCTGGTGCACAGTATACTGGAGACCCTGAAGAAAGACAAAGACATCTCCATTACTGCAATATATTGAAAACCATGATATGATATAACATGATATGATATATAACATAATGTGATAATGTAGCGACCCTGTTTTTTGTGTGTGTTTCTTTTGGGGGGTAAATCAGCTTTAATATTGCAGATTGATTGTAGTTTCCATCAATGTAATTGTCTGCATCATTGCCAATCCCCCATATATTTGTTTTGGGGGGGTAAATACATATATAGCGACCCTGTGTTTATGCGCGGATATCGACTCTGCCACTTGAGCATGCTTTTGTGGCTTTGGGCCAGAAGGTTGAGGGTTCATCGACCACTGAGGACAAGCTCACTCTCCCTGCCTGTTCCATTCCACTGGTGTCAGAAGTTGGACATCACTTCTCGTCTGACACCAGTGTAATGAAACAGGCAGGGAGAGTGAGTTTGTCCGCGGTGGTCTGCGAACAATGTCGCTACACAGGGTCGTTACAATAGAATATGTGATATAACTTTCTGATAAACATCCAATAAGTAAGGGATAATCAACGAGGGGCTATGCATTCTATAGAAAATAATGAACAACGTGGAACTGACCTTCCACGGAGTTGCATTATTTTCCAGAGAACGCATAGAGCCCCAAGTTGATTATCCCTTTTATACCATGGCTATATTTTAACATATTTGCCAGTAGAAATGTGTTCATTTGCCAGTAGAAATGTGTTCAACATCCACTGAAGTAGCTAGCAGGTTTACTAGATAGCTACAGTAGTTGCCTTGGAAACCAAACAAACAGACTTTCTAGTTTAGCTAACCAACCCATCAGTCCTAGCTTGCTATTATGAAAATCGAATTCAACAATGCCAATAATGTTTTCAATTTGACTTTTGCTTTCAAAAGCAGCTCCAACATAGAACATGTAAGAATAAACTATAGCCATTGAATTGTACCGTGTGGATATACCGTGCGTTATAGGCAAATTAGGCACGCTCTAAAATGCCCTTCAAGCAAATCAGATACGAGTATTCAATAATGCCATGGTATAGCGATATTATCTGTAAAGGATCACCTTGGATTCTGTTCTTGATACTTGTTCTTGATGTGTTTTCTTTGCCATCCCCTCCACCTGTTTCCTCTGCTGTGACTAAAGTGAAAAACTCCTCCAGATTCTCCCCCTCAGCTTTAGACAGGCAGAAGTTAGAGTACTTCAATGTGCCAGGGCCATCCAGCAAGATCTATAGGGGGGAAAAAAACAAAGTCATAATCAAATGACATTGATTTCATGAAATCAAAACTGAGACAGAGAATAAATGTTGGCTAGAAATAATCAGCATTGCTTAGTTGATAAAAGGAGCTCATTGGATGTAAAGTGTTAGGTTGGTTTGATCTATAGAGTGTGTTAAATGTCAGATGTGCCTCGATATATAGAGTTTGTTGATTTTTTAAATTAAATTAAATCAAACTTTATGTGTCACATGCGCCGAATACAACTGTAGACCTTACAGTGAAATGCTTACTTACAAGCACTTAACCAACAATGAATTCAAGAACGAGTTAAGAAAATATTTACTTAATCAAATAAAAAATAACAATAAATAGTCAATGTAAATAGTCCGGGTGGCCATTTGATTAATTGTTCAGCAGTCATATGGCTTAGGGGTAGAAGCTGTTAAGGAGCCTTTTGGTCCTAGACTTGGCGCTCCGGTACCGCTTGCCGTGCGGTAGCAGAGAGAACAGTCTATGACTAGGGTGACTGGAGACTTTGACAATTTTTTGGGCTTTCCTCTGACACGCCTAGTATATAGGTCCTGGATGGCAGGAAGCTTGGCCCTAGTGATGTACTGGGCCGTACGCACTAAATTATAGAGTCAGGACATCTATACTGTACCGCACCTTGGAGGGAGTGAGGTCGGAGAACACGATACCAGCATCATGGATGTATCTCAAGCCTTTGACCAGATCAATGGCAAATTCCCTCACTACATCTTCTGACAGGCACTCATCCTGGGTGATGACTGACTCCAGTGAACCCCCTAAAATATAGAGAAATTATTAATGATTATTATTATCCTACCATTATACACTATCAAATCACATTCCTACTTTGTGAAACGTAAAGGTAAAAGGTTGACATACGGTAACAATTGTATTCTTATAGTACCAAATAAGCATCTCACCTGTGCACAGTTCCACTACAAGCCAAAGATGGTTGCTGGTTTCATACCACTCATAGAAGGTTACCACATTCTCATGTTTTATGTCGTGAGTTAGCCGTACCTGCGGATTCCCCAGTCAGTGTTACTCAGTCAAATCAGTTGAAAGGGATGTGTGTAATACTAGGAAGTGATGCTGGATACTTACGTGGTTTGTAATTTCAGGTCTTTTTGACTTGTCACTGCAAATAATTGCAACAAAATGTATGCTCCCTTTCCTCCTGCCCTTATAAACCACTGACTTGCGTCCTGTTCCAATTTCCTCATACAGGATGAAGTTTTCCATCTGCACAGAAGGTTCTCAAGTTAGGGACAGTGGTTGGTCACTTGCTGGGGGTGAATAGCACATTTATATAGGTTGAAACTAGAAACGAGTAAATGGCATTTGCATGTAATTAGTTAAACTAGGTCGCTAACTGCTAGCTAATTTGCTAGCTAACTGTTTTACTGACAGAAGCAAGCTGTGCAGACCAACAACTGTCCTGTCCATGCACGTTCAATCACAAAACCTAACAGCCAATTCCCATATAAACAGATAAACAGGTTAATACATGCAAGAATCCACAAACTACCTGTAACCATATCAAGAATTAGTGAAATTACTTCATAATAAAAATATATATTATTAAAAATCGCTGTTTTTACCTTCAAATCACCCCTCGAACTCAAACTCAAAGCGCGAAGTTTGTTACCGGATATCACATTTGGATCATTTCATTCCGACTGTAGGGGGGTAGAAATACATGCTTTAAAAAAAAAAAAAGGTAATATTTTATTTATTTATGTTTTTCCATTTTATACATATATACAAAAATATTAAACTAAAGGTTGTATGAAAGGGATCCATAACAAGCACGTACATGTGTCTTATTGTTTTTCATTATTTTGCTTGAATACCTCTGACTGTGAGCTATTCCTTGGTTACTAGGATACAAGTAAGGACGCGGCAATGGTACACACACACACACACACACACACACTCACGCACGCACACACACACTCAGTGCAAGGGAAAGCGTCTTCTTGTGCACAGAGACGGACAAAGTTTTCATACTAAAACATCTTTGGACAGAGCAGGCCCACATAATGTTGACTGCCTACTCAAACTGTGGATATAGGTCTAGCTAGCATTAGCACATATGGTGATAATTATTGGATCTATCCCTCCAACCTGGGTTAAACCCGTAGCCTAAAACATGCTATTCTATTCTATATTAATTGTATATTTTATTTTATTATATTCTGTTGTATATATATTGTGTAAAATAAATCCATGGAATATGATAGATTGTATATAGTAGCTAACTCTCCGTCTCCCTTTCTTTCTCTAGCGCTCTGTTTGTTTGTCTGCCTGTCCCCACCCACTCTCTGCCCCCTTCCTTGTTCCCAGAAAACTCCAAAACGTGGCTTTGATAGCTATTGAGGGAAAACTGTAGAGGGGCAAGCATGGTTAAATGCACAGGGCAGTGCACTTCAATCTGAACTGGTGTGAAGACATTAAGTGAAGCTCGTTGCAGGGCAGAGCAAGCAGATAAAGTGCAGATTTTATTTTGAGTGGTCAAAGGGCCTTTTATTCTCTTGTGTTTTCAGACAATACACATAGGCATACCCTATCTCCTCTTTTTCTGTGATTGTGTGTGAGAGAGAGAGCGAGAGAGCGCAAGCATGCACATGCATATAGTCTAATGTCAGGTGAATGTCAGGTGCCACTGCCAACAAGACATGACAGTAGCTAAAATGCTCCAGGTAGGGCCTACGCTGCTCTATGGTTGACCCGTGTGTGTGAGAATGTGAGTATGAGATATAAGAAGTTATGACCTATTCTATTCTACTCTGTCTTCAAGGTCTAGCCTGGTCCCATACTATACAGATGGAATGTAGAAGTGTAATTTGATAGGCCTACCACCCTGCCATTTGCCAGAGAACTAGTCTGTAGCCGCCTCCCTTCACTCCAGCACCTAACCATTCATAGATGCTAGCTGCTTTAGCGCCTATTGACGATAGTATCTTCTGGTCGGGGAAGTTTTGTTAAGATCATCGACGCTCGTTAGGACATAAACATATCTTTCATATCAGCGAAAAATAATAATAATAATAAAGGTTAAATTACTACACACCTTTTGTCAAAGTTGCGTCAATTCAAATCTGGCATTAGGAACAAAAGAGGTCAACACGACTTCTAAGATATACTAGTTATTTTAATTAATGAAAAAACCTTCAATGGTAAATATGATGTTTCGTATATACGGGCTCCTTGAAATACCTCGCAGGGCACTTCAGATAACTAAATCCATTGTTCCAGGTTCTTCCTCAAATACTCTGACAGAGAGAGAGTTTCCCACCTCTCTGCTGGCCAATCAGAGTAGACGCTTGAGCGTGGTTTAGACTTACTCAGCCTATCCGTTGGCGCACCGGCTGTTCCCCGCCTCTTCTGTTACCAGGCATACGTTTATCATAACAACCTGTCATAGTGAGAAGAGCCAGCTCCCCTAGACACCATTCCTACGTCCAAGAAAGGTTCACAGATCACAAAGAACCAGTATTGTCTAGTATTTGGAGACATAAATCCTTATCTAATTTTACCCCCTAAAACAGCTCTTCACATCAATCACAGCTTGCCAGGTGACACAACCTACATTAGCCCAGTCAAGAATGCATTCTTTCTAAGTTAGTCATCCCATCAATTATAAAAAATAATAAATCCCCCATACTTTATAGGGTTATGTTTAGTGTTCCCACACGACCATATCTCCATGCTACATCGCTTGTTTACAGAAGACAGACAGAAGACATAGGCGGCCACCTGTGCTAATTAGCTATTTAGCGTACTCAGAACACCTGTGTGTAAGTGTAACTGTGGAGGAAGTGTAGTTCATCAACTGGCACACAGAGCTTATGGATCTGTGCAGTAGGCTAAGTATCTTTTTTTATTTGAAATATTATTTCTCGCTGATATAAAAGATAAGGGGCATATCAGCATATATTTTGAAAATCGTTTTGCAAGCAATGATTAGTGATGCTTCTAAACGTTAAAACACAGTGTCGGAATTGTAGTTCAAACACAGCCAACCATGTGCGAAGCTAACTGCTGAAAGGCCTACAGATAATAAGAAGGGGTTTCGAGAGCTATAGCACCCTCCAGCTGTGAGAAAAGTGATGTCATCATGTTCGATCCATTCAAGTGGAGTGTGACACCGTAGCGAGCAGCGTGGATTTTGGACACACTCACACCCGGCTTTCTGTACAACATTTCCAACTTGATTCAATCTACTCGAATCCGATTCTGTGTTATCGTACTGCACTCTTCTGATATTTCGGCGTAACTTGGAGGCTTCTCTGAGACAGTGTAGGCTAAACGCGGATGCTGAACGAACCAAGAAGAGGAAACGTAGCATGCTGCGTGCGCTACTTTTCTTTCATCCATAGGCTACATTTGCTTCAGAAGTTTTCTCCCCAAATGTAAACGACGGCGACAGCTTTTTTTGTACGTTTCTTTGGTTGTTCATGCACTTTAATTTTTTGTGCTATTTAGTCTTTTTCCTACAAAATAGACCAACAGTTCCATTTACAATATTTTAGAAAAGCGGGTGGTCTCCACGACGGAATACAATTGGCGACTGAATGAATTGAGGCCATACGACTGAAAGGAAACAATTGATTCTGCACAACGACCTGAATGAATTAGGATTCTTTATCGCTATTCACGTGGTAAGTGTCATCGCAGCTCATTGAGTATCAGCTACAAGTGGAAACATTGTATCAATGTAAATCAATACTGATTATTATGTAGCATATGCACACCTTATGTTACACCCCTCGCTCACTGACCGACATTCTGACAGGTTACTTTACCTACACGAGAGTGCCCCATCTTCTTGATCAGTAGAACGTGATGATGTGAAATGTATTCCCATCTCTCTCCCTCCTTAAATCCAGATGCAAAATCAAAGCCGTGTATTTAGAGACAGGGTTTAATAAGCTTTCTTATACCAAGCAGATTAATGTGGTTCAATTACATTAAAGCTTTCTTAACGTTTAACTGAACCAAACACTTAGGCCTATTGCCTAAGGAATATTTGGTCAGTTTCTCACGCAGTGGCTGGTGGACTGGGAGTCCTCTTCTTGAGGGCCACGATGGACTATAAATGAAGTAATGGACTATAAATGAAGTAATTGAGAAGGCACATGATCTGCCTGTTAACATAGGCCATCACAAATTCCCTATTAGGCTATTTCATTCCTAAGGTGTTTTTAAACATTTGGAACATTGTGTTTTGTATCACAATGACACCTTCCTTTATCACACACACACTTCAAATCAAATCAAATTTTATTTGTCACATGCGCCGAATACAACCGTGTAGACCTTACTGTGAAATGCATACTTACAAGCCCTTAACCAACAATGCAGTTCAAGAAAGAGTTAAGAAAATATTTACTAAATAAACTAAAGTAAAAAAATAAAATAAAAGTAATACAATAAGGGGGTACCGGTACCGAGTCAATGTGGGGGTGGGTACAGGTTAGTCGAGGTCATTTGTACATATAGGTAGGGGTAAAGTGACTATGCACTTGGGTCTGTGGCGGCGTTTCCATCTGATACGCTGGCACTTTGAGATCTAATATTCAAGGCGACATTAAGTTCAAACATAATCATGTGTGTCATAATCCTAATCATGCTCTATTGCCCTTTGTGCTGCTGAGTGTGACTCAGGCCAGCTGTGTGAAACACAACGTAGGTGCCCTTACTAAAGCATCCTGGTGTCTGAAAGTGAAAGCAGCCGATACTCTAGTGACTGTGTGTGTGTGTCTACTCAGGATCAGCTGGGGCCATGCCATCCATGCGTGATTTGTAATCCCTGTGTTTTAACAGATTGCATCCGAGCAGCTCAATAATTGTGCCGTCCCATTCCCTGCAGCAGAGAGAGAGAGATGTTGGGTTGTATAACCAACCATACAGCTGAGCGTTAGGATGGGGTTATATATTGTTCTTAGAAATAGTTTGTTGACCCCACTGTGATGTGTTTTATTTATTTTTCACTGGAGAGGCTTTTGAGGGACACATGGGTCCATTGCTTTCCTACTAATTTTACAATCTCTGTGGAAAAGTGACGGGCCTTATTACGGTTTCTTGCATTTTCTCATCCTGTTGATGCATGAGTGATTTCTTCTGCTCTGCTCTTCTGTGTGTTTTGGTCTGAAGGCCTGGAGAGCTTGGTCGTGTTCCCCTGCTCAGACATTGCATGCATCAACCAATAGTTGTGTGCCACATCATCAACTGTGCTG